GCTTAAAAAATTAGACATTAGATAGTATATAGCTAATTAATGCTGTTTTCAATTAGAAAACAAATCTAAATAAAGTCGTGGCATGACTGCTGAATTTTTTAAAAAAAAGATATAATTATCTAATACTTAATGCAAAAATATGTAAAAAATATCTATGTTCATAATAATGTAGTATTTTTGTGCCTATAGATATAGGCATGCTATAGGCACTAGTGCCTGGTATCGTGCCTAATATGCCTGACATAGGTATTTGCAGAACCCTACTATCTATAGTACATTTTAGTAAACTTGAATTTTTATTGGTCAATCAATTTTTTATATCATAAATTCGCAAAAATCATATTTGAATTTTGGTGATATAATTGAAAAGAAAATCCGCCAATATGGTATTACAATGTTTCCATTAGCAGCCAATAAACTCTCAATAAATTCGATGAAACTCAATTTTGAATGATATAATCCATATTGGGTTATATTATGATAAATTAAAATCATAGCTAATTATAGAATATTACAAATTAAAATTTTGCTGTATCTATTTTCACAAAAAAAAATGCTTATTATGTACTGTACATACATTCGATACATGTTGAACAAACATCTCCCTACTCTTCCAGAAACTCCTAGATAAGTTATTTTAAGGTAATAAATCAATGGCATCACAAGAGTCGTCAGCTGGTTTTGAGCAAGTTGTCTTAGTGAATTCTGAATGTGCAAATTGTGGGGGTTCAGCACAATATTTATGTCAAGCATGTGGACAAACAGGTCCCCGTTATTGTTCGTTGAAATGTCAGAGCGATCATTGGGCAAAGGAACATGCTACTGTATGCGCGGGTGCGCACTCAGACACGGAGTCTGAAGATCACGACAGCGAAAGAAGTTCAAGAAACCTTAAAAGAACAAGTAGTAAAGTTTACAGTAGGGGAACTGTCGCACAACTTATCAATTTTAGAAGTAAGTATATTTTGTTTTATTTTTCTAGTGGTATGGTTTTACGTTAAATTATTTTTTTGAAATTTAGAACGACGATCAACCCCAGAACCACCCGCATCTCCTACATTAGAAAGACTAGTAAGTATAGCTATATACAATTTTTTTCCTTGACAAATCCCATTTACTTGTCATTAACCAACTGTAGCCTAATTCCAACGATCTACCTCCGGTATATGATGCTGTTCAAGCTGATGAATTCAGGTTCTATATGCATCAAGTCTACAGAATTATTAAACCAGTAGTTCTATGTATTGTACTATCCATTCTTTGGGTAAAATTAGCCAAAGCACCTTCCTATTTTGTAATTGGGTGAGGTGGCGAGAAAAATCTATTAAGACTGTTTATATATGATTTTGAGTTTCATTTGCATCTATTAATTATCAATCTGCCTTTTACAGAAGTAACACTAGTAGTAGTTCAAGTAATCAAGGAAATGACGATTCGCCTTCATCCTCAATTTCCTCTTCTGTTTATATGGCAGGAATCCTTATCGGACAAATAATAGTGGCCACAATTGTCATTGTATTTCTATTTAAATATGGGTTTACAAAAGTGAGTAAAATTAATTTTCAATATTTTTATATTTTTTATAATATATATATTCATAACTCATATATGTTCAGATCCTTGTAGGGTTCTTTATGTTCGTGGTGCTTTTTCCCCTTGGGTTTATGTCTTATCTTCTTATATCGTATGTACGATTTCTAAATGCTAGATGAATTTCCTTTACGTTATATTCTTATCAATTACTTCTTTTTTATAGGAGCATTATAAGTATTTTTTCAATACCATTAGATTATATCACTCTCATATTCGCATTATGGAATTTTACAGCAGTGGGTCTTATATCTGTTTTTTGGAAAGGCCCTCTACTGTTGCAGCAAGCATATCTGACAATTATGTCGAGTTTGATGGTGGTTATTCTTTGCTATTTCAAGTATTTATAATCGCGAAATGCGGGTATGGCGTTATTTCGAAATTAAGTCTATTGGCGCCCGGAAATAATTGCATTTCATATAT